CAGAGAGGTCTGGGCTGGACACGGCGGTTGAAAAGTAAACAGTAGACGGATGGTAACTGGAGCCATGAGACGGAAACCAAAACCCAGACAGAAGGTGGGGTGGCAGAGGAGGTGCGGATGGGGTGAGTGTGGAATGTTCTTTCAAGAAAGTTGGCTTGAAAGGGAAAGAAAGGGCTATCGCCAGAGGGGAGCACTGGGGTTCAAGGGAGCATTTGTGTGTTTTTTTTTAAGAGAAGGAGGAATTGGAACACAGTGAAATGCTGATGGGTAGGAGCTGGGGCAGGAGGAGGGTCAGAGGTCCAGGACAGGTGGGGTTAATAGAAACCCAGGGACCGAGGAGGAGGCCCGAGTGTGGAGGGGGCCCTGTCCGCACACATCTGCAGGCACAGGAGGGAGGCGCTCTTGTGTAACGGGTTCTCTTCTCTCTGAAGCCCACAGTGAGTTCACCTGCTCAAAGTCAGGCCGGAATTGGCGGGGTTGGAGGTCTTCCTGTAGAAGAGGAGGTTTGCAGAGGCTGCCGCGGAGAGTGAGGGAAAGGGGTGTCTCAGGAGACGGAGGAGTCTTCTCCCCGGTTCCGGCCGGGACGAGCCACAGATGTGAGCATCATTGTGAATCAGGGTCTTTGTCCTGATGGTAACTGATTTCGCACGGGCTCAAAACCCGATGGCAGCTGATCAAATGAATTTTGAGAAATTAAAAGAAAAACAATATCCACGAGCGCTTTTTACTCTAGCCGTCATTTTATTGAGAGTAACTTTACACCTTTTGTGAAAACCATACCTCTTCCACATGAAGACGATGGAATTCTCTGGTTGGTTGACTGTTTCAGACACTCATCGTGGCCTGGATCCGGGCAAGCCTCTGCGTGTACGTGTCCCGAGAGCTCTGGGACGACTTCCTCGGGGTGCTGTCCTCCCTCACCGAGTGGGACGAGCTCATCAGCGAGTGGGCCAACATCATGGACTCCCTGACGGTGGTGCTCGCCAGAACCGTCTACGGCGTCGAGATGACAAACCTGCCTCTGGACAAATTAAGTGAACAAAAGGAAAAGAAGCAGCGAGGCAAAGGTATTTCCGCTCGTACAGGCGGCCCCAGGTGTCTGAGGCTGGGGCGGGGGGACTGTGTGAAACACCCAGCACCTGACGCAGGAAATCTCATCATCAACTGAAGCAGCGTCGGGACAGTGTCTTTTCATGGTGGCATTAGATTGTGTCTCATAGCGCTCAGCCGCCTTCCGAGGCGCTGAGTGTATGGGGAGGCTGTGTGTGTGGGGGGACTGGTAACAGTAGTAGTGATGGCTGGGGCCGTGCACGGACTCTCCCTCGCCACCATCCTGGCAGCCTGGGAAGTAGATACCGCTGCCTCCACGTCACAGACTCAAGGACGGGGCCCACAGCGATCGGCTCCTTCAGGGTCACACAGCTAAAAAGTGGTAAAGCCAGAAAGCAAAGCCAGGCAAGTCCAACTCAAGACACTGCACCACTGAGATGCACTCTGAGCCTGTCTCTGTTTTGTAAAAACTGACACAACGTTGCAAATCAACTATACTTCAATTTTAAAAAAGAAAAGAGAAAAAGAAGTGTACTCTGCTGCCTTTCTGGGGCAGGTGGAGTGCCTCAGTGCCTCGAGTGGGGGTCACTCTGGCTTTGTTGTGTTTCTAGGTGAAAACTGTTTTCAGACCTAAAGTCAGATTGGGTGGAAAACATCGGTACTGGTTTCTGCTGGGGGGGTGGTGACAGCTTGGCAGCGTGTCTTCACTACTGTCTTTAAGACTGTGACACAGTCCTGGGATTAAGTCACCGAACTCCGACTTATGTAAAGATTTTGAGGCTGTTTCTAGAAAAAACATAGTATAACAGATAAAATACCTAAGGACATGGGGGCAAAATGAAAAGGGGTGGAGCTACAGGCAAGGTCCAAGTGCCAGAATGCACACTGGGGCCTCCGTGCCTGCTGGGAGGCGGGAAGGGGCAACTGCGGATCTGACACTGGTCCCCACAGGGCTACATCAGACACTCAGAGCACACAAGGTACAAACAATCCACATGCTTAGCTTTTCCTGGTCCTGGGACCCGAGAGGAATTTTTTCTCCAGAGACTCACAGAGGGTGCATTACCTGCTGTGGTAGGCTAGAGCCTCGACCACAGTCTCGGTGCAGATTGCATCAGTTAGCTTTTGCTGTGTGGCAGATCACCCCAAAATACAGTGGCATAAAATAGCACCATTTATTTAGCAGTTGGAGTCGGGCTCCCTCGGGCCCTTCTGCTGCTCAATTCACAGCTGTGTTTGCAGTCAGCTGTGACGCGCTCAGCCAGGCGGCCTCCTTGCAGGGGTCGGCTAGCTGTCAGCCGCGGCAGTGGGGGGCGGGGCTGTACATCTTTCATCACCAGGCGGGCTGGCTCGGGCTGCCCACCTAATGGCTTAGGGTCCTAGGAGCAGCAAGAGGGCAAGCCCAGATTTTCAAGTGCATTTCAAGTCCCTGCTTGCCCAGTTTTGCTACCAAAGTAAGTGGTGTGCTGAGGCTCAGAGTCCTTGTGGGTACGGGGAGATGGAACCAGCTACGGAGGTTAACTAACCACAGGGACGCGCGGTTGATGTGGCTGATCCTTAGATTACCTGCACTGCCGTCTGTGAGTAAAAGCAGGTTAGGGAGAAACCGAAACGAAGTAGTTGAAGGGCATGGCATTCGTGGACTTGTTTAATCCCAGTTTAGATTTAGACTGTCTGATGCAGTGACATTGTCACACACTTTAGTAGAAGAGCTTTCTTTCTTCCGAGGTGGAGCTGTACAGAGCCTTCCTGAAAAAAATCAGTTAGACTGGAGATTTGGGGTTGGGGTCGGGTCAGGGAGCCTAGAGCCCGGGCCTCTGTCATGTCCTGTGCAGCAGCTCTGAGGGCCCCTGTGTCAACCTGGAGTCCGGGGGGGTCCAGATGCTTCCAGTCAGGAGCCTAGGGGAGTCTGCCCAACCAGGGTGCCTTTCAGGATGGAGGGGAGTGGCCGGGACAGGAAGTAAGGGCCTTTGCAAATTCAGCACATTTCCTACTTCCTGAAGTTCCTATAACCTGCCCTCCCCTTCAGGCTCCGAAACTTTCTCCTCCCTCCCAGTGTGCGGACACAGGCTCCAGGGAGAGACAGGCTCGTCTCAGGACGGTAGACAGCTTCCGGAATGCTGTTTTCAGAATGATACAGAACACATTTTGTAATGAACGGCTATAGCAAATGTTTCTGATTTATGTATTATCTTATTTTATTCTAAAAATGGTGTTGAATATTCACTGTAGAAATACTTTCTGTACAAGCGCCAGACTTGCGGAAACAAAGTGCGCTCTCAGAAGAAGCTGGGTGTGAAAACGGGCCGGGGGGCGGGCAGCCGCCAGCCCCAGCCCCAGCAGACCCGCGCGAGACCTCGAAGTGTCTCGTTTCCCCTGTGCGTCTTGTGGTCCTTGGCCGCTCACTTGGAGTATCTGAGCAGAGCAGCATGAGAGGAGAGGAGGGAGCGTGAACCACAGAGCTGAGCAGTTACTGCTCGGAGCGTCACTGAAACAGGACTGGGGCTGTTTGTAGAGGCTCAGCAGCCTTGCCCATTTGACTGCAATCAGCACTTAGAGGCAGACATCTCTCTTGGGGGTTTGTGGAGAGGTTGGTGTCCGCAGGATGGAGTACTGTTCTAAAACCGGGATCTCTAATTTTCTGGCTTATAAAAGCAGTTTCTGGAGTGTCCTGGGAGCAGTGGTGTAACTGGATTTGACATTGTTCTTATACTGAGAAAGATTTATTAACTTTTTTGTACACTGGAATTAGTACTGTTGAAGATACGATGATTTTCAAGAGACCACAGAAGATGCTTGGAAAATCCTCTGGCAACAGGGATTTTCAGATCACTGACACGTGGAGAACTTCCTAACTTGCAGTCTAGGGATGTGGTACCTAATCTTCAGCTGAGGGAATCCGCTGGTTGTGCAGGATACTGTGTGTAGAGTGTGCTGAGCGCCCGAGGCTGTGAGACGAGTCATAGTGAATTCAGCCGTGGGATTCTTTTTCTTGTCTCGTAGGCTGTGTTCTTGATCCTCAGAAAGGAACCACGGTGGGGAGGTCCTTTTCTCTGAGCTGGCGGAGTCACCCCGATGTGACGGAGCCCATGCGGTTCAGGAGTGCCACCACGTCTGGGGCGCCGGGAGTCGAGAAGGCCAGAAGCCTCGTTCGCCAGAAAGCAGCCGGTAAACTTGCATTTCCCTGTTTCTCCAAGGCGCGGGTCTGCAGGAGTGAAATGTTTCACAAGTATTAAAATTCCACCCAGAACTCAACGACGAGGCCTTTTACTGCATGAGACGTATCTGTATCCTTCTAGCTTTCTGTCTGATGACTTTCCAGATCACAGTTTTTGATACTTCTTTCTAAATCATTCATCGCAAAAGAGGGCTTGAGATGTTAATATGGGTCAGATATTTGTGCAAAAGAGAGAAAGGAGACGTTCCGGTTGAGCCTTGAGGAGAGCAGAGCCTTAGGAATCACTTAGCCAGTTTCATTATTGTTGTTGTTGGACAGTGTTGATCCTAAGTGAGTGTGGAAGCTTATTCCAGCAAAGAAAAGGTGTAGAACGACTGTTTCCAGAGCTGGAGGGAGACGCTCACGTGCTTTCGCTTCTTAGGAAAACAGCCTTCCATGCCTGTAGACGCTGACCTGACAGCCTCTTTACTACTCTTTGCTCTCAGAAAGAGAAATCTTTAACAAGTAAGCTTGTACACAGTATTTAATAAGAGCAAGTAAAGCCCCTTCCCCTCCCAGTGACTTCAGTTTAGAACAGGTTTCTCTCTGCTCCCTGTGGTTTCTCACATCAGCGACGCCATGCAGCTGTCACTGATACTCAGCACGTAGACTGCAGAAAGGCAGTGTCCTCTGGCCATCAGTCAAAGATTCATTTACACTCAGCATAGTTTCCAGTGCGTAGTACAGGCTTCCTGCAGCTGGCTTAGAGTCCTGTTGGAGTTTTATGAAGCTGTGTTACACCTTAACCCCAGCGGCCTCATTGTTTGTACGGTAACATTTGTTGGTAATTATCACCTTATTTACATTCATCTCCTGTCTTCCTGCCTCCTTCATCCTCCCCACCTCGAGCAGAGACCCAGGTCCTGGTAACAGGCAGCCTTTGGGGTGGCTCATTCACCGGTTTCCTTTCTCATCCCAACTCCTGGAAGCTCCTTTCTTCCATCACTGGGTCCTTAAAAGAAAGGGATCGAAACAGGAGTTTGTGACAAAGGGAGCTTCGTGCCTGGGCTGCCCGGACTCCCTGCTGCCCCTGGCAACCCTGGGATGACAGTGATGATTAAAGTGTTCATTCAAAGCACTTTGTAAAACTTTCTTCTCACA